TTATTTCACCATTTATATGTTGTTGTGGGAGGCCTCTAATGAAGAAATAAATGAGTTTTAACATGTTTTATATTTTAGTATGTTTTTAGTGAAATGTTGTAATATTACAACGTTGGGCCTTTGGGGTAGCAGAATTTCAGTGATTTTACTGTCTGAACAAATCTAAAGAAGATCTAAGGGTTTATTTGCAGGGTATACTGCTTATGTAGCCCCAAAACAGCAGCCTATATATCCATACACAAATAATCACACAATAATAATAATCAGACAAGTCATGTTTTAATGAATATTATATTTATTATAAAAATATATTAAATCAAGACTATTTACTGGTATTTACAATGTCTTGCTCTGTTCATAGCCATGTTCAATTCCCATAGTCTCATAATGGTTTTATTAATGCTCCTTTCTTTTGTAATCTGTACTCATTGGTGTTACCTGCCAGAGCCTTGATCATATCTTCTGACACAAACCTTCAGAAGTACTCCATTGGTGTATGATGGGAGACTGCATCATTAGTGATATCCTCATCAGAGAAATTAATGTTGAGACAGATAAAATCCTTAATCAGACAGCTATACCTGTTATAGTCTGTGTTCTTGAATGGCCTGGTTTTGTTGGCATGATGTTCACATAATCATCAGATGGGCCAACATAAATGGGTGGTCATTTTCCTTTTCCAGTTCACAGGCATCTTTATATTACTTTTTGTCATTTGTATCAGAGTCCATCTCAAAGTCTCTATTCCCATTTTGGATGGCATCAATGACATTATATACATTATAAAATGATGACCTTACCTGTCTATAAGCTTTCTTAAATGGTAAAAAAAAGACACGGATTATTTTCAAGGCTAAATAATCTCAATGCAAGTCAAACCCAATCATACTTAAACATTTTAAAGAATTTACCAATTTTGCAGAAATCACACATTTCACAGAATTCAAACATTCCACAGATTTCAAACAATACAGTCTGATACAGTCTGAAAATAACTAATTGTCCATAATGGTAAGATATGTTAAAATAAAATAACACGTATAGTCAATAAATCTTACAAGTAATTTGAAACTGCAAAATTCCCATAAAACTGTAGATTTCCCCTAATTCAGCATCACATTTTAAGTATAATGGCAACCTGCAAACCTCCTTTGGACTTAAAGCTGCCCACACTGCTCGGTGTGTGTGTGTGTGTGTGTTTGTGTGTGTGTGTGTTTATGTGTGTGTGTGTGTGTGTTCACTACTGTGTATGTGCACTTGGATGGGTTAAATGCAGAGCACAACTTCCGAGTATGGGTCACCATACTTAGCCACATGTCACTTCATTTCACTTCTTCACTTCACTTCACTTCACTTCACTGCATACGGTGCAAACTGCTAACATGACACTTAGTTTAAACTTTATGGTTGCTTATTTTTGAATTTAATTGGCAGATCACGCAATAAACACAGCGATATAGATTAAAAGAGCATTCACTTATCTTATCTTAGATGCTGATTTCAGATGTTTCTGAAGTGCACTGCAACTGCTACCACAAGCAGCAGCAAGCTCATAGGCTACCAATACAAGAGAGAACTAATCAGCTGTGCCATGTGATGATGTCATAATGTCAGATTGAGTTAGACCCACGCCATCTAGAGTTTCATGCCAGAACTTTGGATGTGTATTACATTTTCTATACATTTTAAAATATATTCAAATAGAAAACATTATTATCACACATTTCAGTGTGTGAATCACATTAAAACAGATCCTCTCATATCTCCAGCTGAAGGTACTGGTTTATTTCAGTGGACCTGAGGGATTATTTTCTTTTATTCAGCTTATTTTCAATTAACTGTGTTGATGCCCGCTATTCCCCTCTAAAAATGAGTGGAGTTTGCGAGTAGGATTACCTAGGTGATTGACTGCATTAGAATGCAGTCACAAGCTAATGCTCTTTAACTATCTTCAGCATTTAGGGCCTACATTCAATATGCAGAAAAAAACATCTTGTAACCCAGCCAACATATTTCTTGTTTAGAAATAGAGCTGGACTAAGTGGCGATGCAAGCCCACCTTACACAGGAGAGCTTACAAGCTCTATTATTGATTCCCTTGCGGACTTCAAACTGGAGAAGTCTTTCTCTCCATAGTACTTTCACAGGGCTCTTGTCCTAATACCCACAGCCTTGACCATGTGTCTGTTAGGACTGTTTCATATAGCAGAAGCCCTCTCTATAGCTGTTAGATATTATATATTCGGGGTGCAGTGATGGTGAGCCTTCATTTATACTATAGTGCCATGCGTATATTCATATGCTGCCACAATGTTCAATAAGATCCGTAGCTAAGCGCTACAAAGCCATTGATGGTGGTGCTGGTACTGCCAATTGCCTTTTGTATGTACAGATATTTCTCATGTTGGCGGACATAAGCTTATTAGATAACCTCCCTTTTGGTGAGTTTCTATAATCGGTTGATGGCTCCACTCTTAGCTGGACTTATTCTGCACTGATGTGACAGTCTCATAAATGGAAGCACTATTTTTATTTTTATTTATTATTTATTGATTTTTTTTGCTTTTGATATAGAGTGCTGCAGGAATGAGTCCTTAAACCCAGAAACAAGTTAAAGGTGCTTTACAGCACTTCCTGTAAATGTATGTGATAAATATATAGATATTGAAAAAAGAAGTATTGCAGGCAGAAGTAGGACACTGACTTATCAGTACAATGATCATGCTTCTTTTTAAAATGTCTGCTTCTTGTTAAAAGTTTGTGATCCTCACTTGTCATGGCATGACTTATTCATAGCTAACAAGCCATTGGCACAGATTCATGGATCTGTGCCAATGGCTTGTCCAATTGTTGTGGACTTAACTGACATTCATGGGCTTTGTTGTGATCTTTCCTGGGTGCAGTTTGGATTTGGATGATTGCAATAACCTTGGATGGGATAGACAGACTAACGTACAGTATGCATAGATCCTATTTCTCTTTTGATGTAACAAGTACATCGGGGGTTATGGGAAGTGTTCCTGGTTCCAGTTCCTTAAGGGATTTGAATCATAAAAATTGATAGTGTGTTTTGTGTATGCTAGGTTAAATAAATCTTTAATCTAGATTTAAAGTGACAGAGTGTGTCTGCCTCCAGCACAACACTAGGAAGACTGTTCTGGAGTTAGGGTGATGGACTTTGTCTTTAAAAGTTTATCAATGCATTACACACTTACCAAACCACTACCAGGATACCTATGTCCTGAACACAAAGAGTCCAAAAATGATGGAAAAAGAATGTACTATCATGCATGCATTCATTTGTATGTTAACAGCTACAAATGGCTGTCACTTACTCTGTGACAAATTTCTCTGAATAAGTATGAAATAGGTTTGCTGTAGGTTACATAAATTTGAACATTTACAAGAATATGTTTTAATGGATTTAGGTAGATTCACGTGGCCTCTCTTTGTTTTAATACTGTTGATACGTC